AAAAAAAAAAAAAAAGAACAGAAAAGAAAGTACACTACAGTAAATTTCATGTTATATGTATTTTATCACAATTAAAACAAACAAACAAACAGAAAACAAAAAAACCCCGTTCAATATGAAAAGTCAGAATCACTGGTACTGGGGCTGAAAGATTCAATTCCCAGTTAACTTAATTAAATCTTGGTTGTCACCGGAGTGGAGTATTTATTAGTTGCTTTCAATCAGTTGATTTAGTCTCATTGTTAATTTGTAAATAATCAAAAGAAAGCCAAAATCAAACTAGACAACTTAAGAGTGCGAAAAATGCTGAAAAGTTTGCTGAATAACTCCTTCTGTTGACTAGAATAAAGAAATAAAAGCTATTAACAGCAGAAAAACTGTAAGTGACTGCTTAAGCAAAACATCTCTAAATAGAAACAAACTGTATTCTTATGCTATAAAAGAAAGAGTTGCCTACAAAATGTAAGGGCAAAGGGGAGGAAGGCCCAATCCTCAGACATGGGAAGGCCTCTAAGACAGCATCTGGCATTTGAAACACGGAGAATATTAGCTGTGAAACATTTCATAGGGTGCCAAGGCTCTCATTTTGAAATTAAGTAATGGATGCCCACTTCTTATTTCCACTATATTATGTGTCGAATGAAAATCTGGAATTGAAAAAAAGAGAGTGTCTGCCAAGACACTGGTTCAGGTTCAAAGACTACTGTTCTAGATTAAAAATCAAAGTCCTTATCAAACTGAGCAAACTGAAGGAGAAAGTGAGTTGCTACAAGACACAGAAGGTGGAAAGTTTAGCACACCACCTGGTATAGAATGTAGAGAAAACATCTAACTGCTATATAGCACGCAAGCACACATTGGTACTTCATTTGTTGGGAGAAGGGTTCTGGGCCTTGGAATTTCCCAAATCAGATAAAATCAAGACATGCTGATCGCCATGGGAGAAGCCAGCATTATCTTCCTTTGGATTCCCTCCTACATATCTACAGGGATTTACTGCAAGGACGTCTTTGGCTTTAGAATGCAAAAGCATTCATAAAGTATGCCTTGAGAGCCTACAACAGATTATTAAAATGTGGAAACTAAAAATGAAAAATATCTCCTATCTTTGAAAATTTCATTTTACCCACAGCAACAGTTTTGTAGTTCAAGGTCATGGGAAAGGAAGACAAAGGGTAAAAGGGAACTTGTTATTTGTTTGCAAGAAAATATTTTTCCCCTTACTTAGGACCCTCAAGGACCCCAGCTGCCTCACACCTTTCATTTAAAAATCCTGTTTCGGCCAGGCGTAGTGGCTCATGACTGTAATCCCAGAACTTTGGGAAGCTGAGGCAGCAGGATTGAACCCAGGAGTTTGAGACCATCCTGGGCAACATGGTAAAACCCTGTCTCTATTTAAAAAATACAAAAATTAGCCAGGTGTGGTGACAGTTCCAGCTACTAGGGAGGCTGAGATGGGAGGATTACTTGAGCAAGGAGGTCGACGCCGCAGTGAGTCGTGATTGTGCCACTGCACTCTAGCCTGAGTGACAGAGTGAGAACTTGTTTCAAAAGGAAAACAAACAAACAAAACCTCAGTTCTGCCTTCTCAGAGCAAATGAGCAAGCGTGAACATTTCTAAGGCAGGCTACCTTCATTTGTTTCTTTCCTCCTTGTCCCCAGCTTGCCGAGTTGTGGGAGGAAGCACTGCCCTGAGAGCCAGCGGTGTTCCAGACTCCTCCATCCTCCTCCTCTTCCCAGCTGGGATGGCGAGTTCCTGTGACTGGCCCGTCACTCTCCCCCCAGCCGTCTTGCATAGATTTGGAATCTTAAAGGAAAGAATAAATTAACTCTTTGCAACAGCTATATAAAACAATCATCAGAATAATAACTGCTTGCATATGCAGCATTTTAGTGTCTTTGTAATTTTATCTAGTCCATCCACATGGCAAGACAAATACTATTACTCATTTTTTACAGGTCAGGAAACCAAAACCCATAAAGCCTCAATGATACACAGAAAGCTAACAAACCATAGAATCAAGGCCTCCTGACATCTGGATCAATGCTTTTTCCCTTGCACCAAGCGGACAGGAATTTCAAAACTGAAAATGACTTATCACAACATTCTGGTCAAGAAATTTCACATCTCAATTAAGAGAAATCTGTCCCTCTTAATGAGCTGTAGCCCTGGTTTTATCCTCCTATTCAGTATGTGCTTTATATGCAATGGACACTACAAATACGAGGTATGATAAAGGACAACTGTCTAGCTTGTTTGCAGTGAAGCAGAGAAAAACAGAACATAAAAAGGGGGAAATTTATAAGATTTTGAATATCAAAATTATAGAAGAAAAATTCACATATAGCCACAGAAATATGAAAAGTAATAGAACTACATACTTGAAATGTGTTAGATACTAAAGAGGCAAAGAATATACAAAGAATATAGTGGTTTTGAAAAGACAGGAGTAGAAAATGTGGAGGATAGGGAGAGGAAGGGAGGAAGGAAAGCAGAGAGAAATCAAAGATGCTTTAATATTTGAGAAAGTGGGACATCAGTATCCCATCCTAAACAATGATTTTTAATTTGAAGACTGGATTAAGTCCTAAATTCCCTCTGAAAATACTGTACAGAATCAAAACATACATTGCATTAATGATACTGTATAAAATGATGACAGAAAAGGAACTACATTTTCTTGCCTGGAAACTTCCATCTACACCTCTACTTTCCGACATGACAGGACATTTATGAAAGTTTCTGATTTGTTCATAATTTTATATGAGGAGATTAAGGGCAGAAAATTGGCTCTTCCAGGCCTTTCCTTGAATGACAGCTGCCACTCTGTAGAACCAGGCCTATGATAGTCAAGTAGGTTCGCACGAAGTACATAAGGCACAGGGCAATTAATTTCTTCTAACTGTGGCATCTCATCCCCCAGCAAGGCCCAGGGGAATCTGATAGTCTCCCAGTGGGGTTCACTGTAGCCACAGGAAGGGGCTTTCTGTCTGTGTACAAGGGGGCAGGGTTGGGATGCTCTTCTTCCTGCTGCTGGAAGTGCTGCTGATAACCGTGACTGCTGCCTCTGTATATAGGATTATAAATTTATATAATACCATATTTATGATTTGTATTACATAAGCATAGGCTTTATACTATCCACCGACAAGCAACAGGAGTTATTAAAACCCAATATAAATAACATACCTACCTCTTTAGAAAAATGAAGACATGCAAGTGAACCTTTCTTTTAGAGAGAAAAGCTAAACTTCTAACAAACGTTTCTTATAGAAAAGATAAGAGAGGTCTAATTTTTAATGAAAGGATTCATAACATCAAATTTAAGACACTTGCAGGCTAGAGAAGATCACAGGGTAACTGCATCAACTGGTAGACTATGATGGTTTAGCCCCTTCTTCTGCACATTACACATTCAGATTATCCAGAGAAAGGGTGTGTGCTGTAACTACTGATGACCCTCAAAAGTAGAAGACATTTCTAGAATCTGAGGAAAAGTGAGGGTTTTGTGACAGAAGAGAGGTGATCCTGAGGTTGGGAAACACACATAAAAATCCTGAATATACTGCTAAAGGATCTCTTTGTGACCAGGGTCTGATATATGTCTTCCAACAGCTTTTTGGATCTATTTCAAGTATACTAGGTTACATTTCCCATGATGATACAAATGATTTCACAATGGAAATAATGATAAAAACAAAATCTTCATAAAGATAGCTATTTTAATGAAGTTGAGGAGATTCACAGTTTTAAAAATTAGTCAAGTTACTATGTGTGAATCTCCAGAATAGAGCTAATATCATATTCCCTTATGTGGCACTGTAAAAGTCCTGAATATTATATGATAAACTTAAAAATTTATTTTCTTGTTCAAGGTTTGGTCATTCCAGAAATTTTCATTATTTAGTCAAAAGATAATCCCTTAAATCTGCTATGCAGGGAAAAAAAAAGAGAGAAGTTGGAACATTTTTAAGAAAGTTACAAAAATAAGTGGAAACAGGCACTTGAAAATTGAATTTTTCAATTTAGGAACATCCAATGAGATGTTCTACAACCTCAGTCTAGAGTTCTGCTAATTACTATGACCACATATCACCAGCTGGATCAAGTACAGCTTAGATTTTCAATGATTCTGAATAAGTGTGATGTTCTTCATTTAAAAAACTTGAAGTGAAATTTATGCCAGGTTCAAAAAACCTCTAATGATCTTACGTGGAAGAAGAGAGGCCAAAGGCAAGGAAAAGTACAGAAGGATGAAGTCACTGGGCAGCAGAAACCATGTTCCACATTAAAAGCCAGAGAACTTTTGTTTTAAATTACACTAACAAGCAAATTCAAGCTAGACATGGTGAACACAGTCACTGGGCGAAAAGGGCATCACATCAAATTACAATTCTGTCCAGGTACTAAATTTAAAACAAAATCAACAAAATTAACTTATGATTTTTAGTTCATCTTAAACATTTTAAGAAACACCAAGCCAAGCTACAACCATTTGCTATTAACTAATTATTTAACACTAAAGGTCCTGAATCTCACTGAATCAACCGTTTAAAACTAAAGAGCCCTCACCAAAATGTCAGATGCTCAAATTAACAACGAATCCCAGCCAGGCCCAGTGGGTCACGCCCGTAATCCCAGCACTTTGGGAGGCTGAGGCAGGTGGATCATCTGAGGTCAGGAGTTGGAGACCAGCCTGACCAACACGGTGAAACCCTGTCTCTAATAAATATACAAAAATTAGGTGGGCATGGTGGCGGGCGCCTATAATCCCAGCTACTTGGGAGGCTGAGGCAGGAGAATCGCTTGAAGCTGGGAAGGGGAGGTTGCAGTGAGCAGAGGTTGCACCACTGCACTCCGGCCGAGGTGACAAGAGTGAAACTCTGTCTCAAAAAAAAAAAAAAAGAAGAATCTCTCAAAAATGGAAAGCTTCACACTTACTAGGCTTCATGGCATTGGGAGCGTTGGCGGGCGTGTTCCCCCAGCCTGTGGTCGATGCTCCTGTATCATCCATCTCGCCCCACCCAGGACTGCTTTCATTTGGCTCACCCCAAGCGGAAGTACCATTATCTGGAGCAGGTGGTGTGCTTTTGCTCCAGACTATAAAGAAAGGAAATGTCTCTAAGAATCATTTGTTAAATGAAATGCCAGAATATCCAACGGGGTGAAGGTGGAGGGAACAAGCATGCCTACATTCTGTTGGCAGAAATGTAAACAGATTCAACTTTCATGAGGGGCATTTGACAATGTCACTGTTTAAAAAATCTGATGCACATTAAACTTTTGACCCAGTAACTCCACTGACAGGAGAGTTTTTTTTTTTTTTTTTTTTTTTTTAAACAGAGTCTCATTTTGTCATCCAGGCTGGAGTACAGTGGCGTGGTCTTGGCTCACTGCAACCTCCACCTCCTGGCTTCAAGCGATTCTCCTGCCTCAGACTCCCAAGTAGCTGGGATTACAGCTGTGCACCACCATATCCAGCTAATTTTTGTACTTTTTTTTTTTTTTTTTTTAGTAGAGACGGGGTTTCACCATGTTAGTCAGTCTGGCCTCAAACTCCTGACCTCAAGTCAGGATCCACCTGCCTCAGCCTCCCAAAGTACTGGGATTACAGACATGAGCCACCACACCCAGCCTGCCAGGAAATTACACCACATGTACACTTGTAAACATAGATGAAATTACATGTATAGCAATACTCACGGCATCACTGATAGAAAAAATTTGGAAGCAACCTAAATATCCACCACAAGGGGACTGTGGGTCACTCATTAAAGAAATATCATACATGGGCTGGGTGTGGTGGCTCACGCCTATAATCCCAGCACTTTGGGAGGCCAAGACGGGTGGATCTCCTGAGGTCAGTTCAAGAACAGCCTGACCAACATGCCAAAACCCCGTCTCTACCAAAATACAAAAATAATCTGGGCATGGTGGCACATGCCTGTAATCCCAGCTATTTGGAAGGCTGAGAAGGAGACTCGCTTGAACCTGGGAGGCGGAGGTTGCAGTGAGCCGAGATTGTGCCACTGCACTCCAGCCTTGGCAACAGAGTGAGACTCCGTCTCAAAAAAA